ACAGTAAGCAATAAAAACAAATGGGAATCTTTGCATATGCTGACCTAATTCTAAACATGTTTTAAACCATCATTCTTCCAGGGCTTTTATATGGGCCATGCCATTTATTTCTATGCCTAATTCTTAAACTCAATATAATTGATTAATCTCTTTTATACAAAATAAAACACCATTTCCCTCACTTTAACAATTTTAACATGTAAAAATCTAAGAAAAAAAATGTAAAGACCTGCATATGTATCAGAATTCCAGCAGGAGTCACTTTAAATCAATGTTGGCAATGTAAACCTGTGTGCTAATTAACACCAACTGATAATAATCCTGCTGCAATAGCAAAATGTTCAACAGCTGTGGTGTCCTCCGAATCAACAGTCAGAAAATATGTATCTTCTGGTAATTACAATTCTAAATAATATAACCAGAAGCTAACCATGAAAGTGTGAGAGCAGAAGCCACTACAACCTGCCCTTTTTTTTCTGAGCTTAAACTCTTGAGAGTCAAAACCCACTGACTTTGGAGACCTCATAGCAATTCAGACTTTTACTTCAACATGGCTGGAATTCAAATAATATAGGGTGCATGGATTGCAGATTTTTGGCAAATTAGATACTCTCAAAATTGTGGTTGTTTGAGCTTGGCCTGTTTTTCCAGTGTAGTCCCGTTTCTCTGACTGTGACTAACTGTATGATCTCTCTTTCATGCTCTGACATGAGAGCTGGCTCGGAGCTCGTCTTCCTGGCAGTGTGTTTCTTGGAAGGGGCTGTCTGTGGAGCAGGCTGGCAGTTGCATTTTGAATCTCTGCCTCTTTTTTTATCTCTGCTTCTGCCTCCTTGAACCCCAGTTGGCCTAAGCAGATTGTCGCTCACACCGAGACTGGTTCTGCTGGAGGTTTCTTCCTGTTAAAAGGGAATTTTTCCTCTCCACTGTCGCTCTAAGCATGCTTGGAGTGAGGGATTTACTTCAAGTCAATGAGTTGATCCGATCAACTGGTTTTCCTTAGATGGAAAACTTTGAATAAGTTTGACTGCATAATCTGGTTGAATTGTCTCTGTAAAGGGCCTTGAGATGACTTGTTGTGAATTGGCGCTATATTTAATCGGAATTGAACTGAATTGAAATTTATAGATTATAGCACTGACAGTGGGGGAATTTTCAGGCCTTTGCGGGAGAAGATAAACTGGGGGAAAAGATTGATTTCACATTAAAGTATCGGCCGACCGCCGATTTCACTAAATCAAGGCCGATCAATCGATGCAACCCACCAAAGGATCAGTAGTGAACGCTGTAGCAGAACAGTGGCAATATTTTTATCACACTAATATTTTTGACTCAAGCCAATGGCTTGTTTTAGATACATCTCTACTCGAGAACACCTGATTCAAATGGCCACATTACCGCCTTTGTCAGCCTTTAAATGCTGCAAAAGCCTGTTGATCACCTTTCCATTCAGGTCAGGTGTGTGGAGGCAGGGAAAGACCTAAACATGTAGGACAGTGGGCCCTGAGGACCACAGAGAAGAAACCCTGTACTAAAGTACAATTATTTCAAGAGCACATTCTAATAGTATATGTATTTAAATGGAGAAAATTAAAAAAGGAGAAACTGTATTATATATCGAAGCATCCGATGCAGGTCCAGCAGATTCCGGAATTTAACCATTAGACTGCTGACTGTTGTATAAAATGGGGTTTAAAAAAAAAAAAAAGCACTGAATGTTGGAATCTGTAAATCATATACCAGCCTTATGTTTATATTTTATCACTGCTGAACTTTAAAAATGGAAATGTCTTGAGAGCTGTACTGAACAAATTTTCTATTAGAATGCGCTCTGTGTACAAAATGACAATAAAGTCTGTCTAAGTCTAATTTCACAAAAAGTTGTAAGGATAAAAGATCTTAATGATGCAATCTTAGTTAATGTCTAATGTGTTATTAATCTATTTTTTTTTCTTTTAAACTTCTGAACCTGTACAAGACTTTTAAAAGTTTTAAGTGTTCTACATATTAAGGCTGACAGACTGATTGGTACTTTAACTAGCAATGGATGAAAAGGATTGTTGAGTCATGTCAAGTCAAGTGCTAAATAATTTCAATGTTTCCCTTTAATTTGCTTGATGTTATTTCATAATGGTTTACTGCTTATTTCATAAAGATCAAATATCCCAGTGTCCTTTTTCATGCACAGCTGTTTATAAGAGACAAACAACTTTAACTGTAATATCTGGAAAGTAACAAACAAAAAAAGATATATATATATTGATTGTGCTTCAAACTTACCTTGGGAACATTTTCTTTAGGTAGAAAGAAAAATCAGCACTATTACAGACTGAAGCCCCATAATTCTGATGAATGAAAGTCAGAAACCCAAAAATGTAACCCCCTGTACATCTTGTATCAAAAGGCTGGAAGCGAATTAAAACATTGACAAGTTGATAATCCTTACTGGAATGTCATGGGAAAAAATGGATTCTAGTTTAAATCACAGGGTCATAATCTATAGCACCCCCCTACAACCCAAAGGGATGGAAGAGGGGGGAAAAAAAGCTGAACCCCAGAGAAGCATAGATTGAGCAGATGTGTTTGAACTATGGGTTACAGTCGGGTCACACTACTCTATCTGAACTGGAAAAAAAAAAAAAAAAAAAAACACTAAAGGTTTTTATACCCCAACGCTTTTTAGGACCAACTTTAAAACATTAACTAAATAAAATAAAAACAGCCAGTTGTATAATCCTGTTCTTAATGTGACAGAGTGCAATAAGGAGATTTATATAAAACCCTAAGAACTAAATCTAGTAAATTTAACATTAGGTTTCCATATTTACATTTAATTAAGAGATTTAGAGCCAAGAAAACAAATTAGTCAAAACATGTAATTTTACTTAAAAGCAAAACTTTGTTTAACCCACAATTTAAAGCATTTAAATTACATTTTTAGCCATAAAGCACTAATTACAAATCAGGGATTAATTTATCAACATACAGCAATAGAAAATATTTAACATAGGTAGACGTTTTATTCCGATTCCTTATTAGCCTAGATGTGCAACACCCTCCCTGCCCTGAGTTAGCATATACCTGGTAGCAATGATTGTATAATCTAGGAAACATTAATCCAACAAAATAATAATAATCCAACACAAAGCATTCTATAGGTTTATCTGACAGGGACATATCAGACGCATGAAGCTGACAGAGCTGAATCCATCCGCTGCTCGGCAGCTGCCTCTCTCTGTCTGAGAAAAAGCGCTGATGAAAAAGGCTTTGAACGCCATCTTGTTCATTGCAGCTGCCTGGGCCCTGAATACAGGAACCCATTCATTCGAGGAGGCGGAGGGAGGGAGGGGGCCCACTGGCTAAATCAATTCATCTTTGTGAACCAGTAAATGCGACTAGTTCTTTTAGGAAACTAATCATTTAACCAAGCAACTAGTAATCCACTGGAGGAGACAGAGATCCCTGGAGGGATCCGGTCACCGGGAAACAACTTTGCGAGCGCTCGGTGGATTTTTCCCTCGGCGCTCAGCATGGCTTCCTGTGACAACTCGATGCTAAGCCCACTTTCGACACACCGAACTCTTAACTTAAACATTCAGTGATGCTCGATCCGCCTCAAACCAATATGACAGCAGCCGCTGAGGGCTCCATGCTACATGGTGGTGCCCATTCTAAGGAAGCTATGAAGCGGCGCGGCCCAACGAAGCCGCCAACAGCCTGACCCGTGATCAAGATAAACAGATTGTCAAAATCCAATTAGACAATCTTGTTTTCACATCGTTAAAAGAAGAAGTTCAGATTAGGGTCGAATAGCTGGTTGGCATACTAAAGAACAAATATCTAAACACCCCATTAAAATGGCCTCTTACATGTCAGAACAGCGGTCGGTTTGATTTTAAGCAGCTGTTTATAAACTAATTTAATATAAAAATAAATAATCGGGTGACTATTTTCCACGCAATGAGTAAACATCTGGTTGACTTAGTGGGAGCAGAAATCTGTGACATTCAATGCTCCTAATGCACGACAGGTTTAGTTTCGATTCAATTAAGTAAATACCGTGAGATCAACTGAACTTGGAAAGCATGTAGTCCGGATTTAATTTCAACCAGATTATTTTTATCCAATCCACGATAAGGATAGAACCTTTGTTCTGGTCCGTTTTCGTAATACACACACAAACGCGCACTGATCAGCAATCAAAACTACACAGACATATTTTCTGACCAGTGCCGGCGACTTATTGGGCAGGATACAGAATAGTGGGGGTGGTAGTGGTGATACTGCTGGCGAAGTAGCCATTTTTAGACTTCCTTCGTTGTCAATCCATGATGCTGTAAAAGCCCTAAGCGAGTGAAAGTGTATCCAAAGCCCACTGGTGTTTGTTACGGTTATGCAATCTTCTAAATTAGCCCTATAATGACAGAGAGTGCTAGTTGCAATCATGTTCTGTTATAAGCGTTAGCTCCTACTGTGGGGTTTGTGGAGAAAATGTTTAAAAATAACCTATTTAGGAAAAAGAAAATCTAGGATACAGATGAAAACTGAAATAATCAAATTTATTGACTAACGATGGGGACTAAATAGCTTTCTGGTAGATATATTTCAGCGGTTTAGCACAGGTAATAAGAGAGGGGAGATACCCGGACGTTGGAGGGGTGCTAAGCTAACTTAAGTACCGCACATATTCTAGCAATTAATGTCCAGAATAGCTAATTAGCCTTTCTGCCAACTGGAGGGAATTGTTAGCTTGTTGTGCTTTTAAAAAGAGCAAGCTAATTAGCACTGACGACGAGGCAGTTAGTTAAGTTTATCTTTGACCCCCCCCACCCACAGTCTTGGCACCAATAACTAGTCAGCGACAAGCTAACGGCGGCTAACTAAGCGGAGGAGAACCAAGTTTAACCCTTGTCGTTCATCCTCTCTGCTCGGAAGGCTAGCCAACTGCACACAGTTAATGCATTTCCTGAAGCGCAAATAAGAGTAGAAATACAGTTCCTTACCCGCTTTCAATCGAAGGTATCCGTCGTTTGTATCACATTGACTGGAAACGGTTAAATGTTGTGTGTCCTCTTAGCCCAGGCGCTCAGATTGATCAAGTTTAGCCACCGAGGAGCGGCACTCCCCGAACCCAGTTTTTTTTTAACCCACTGACAGGGGGAGACACCGGCTCAGAGGCGCAGAGACGAGGCGGTATTCACCCAGACGGAAGAGCCAAAGCCTCGTTTGTTCGTTCCCAATGTTTGGTTAAAAAAATATTCCAACTAAAGCTAATGTCCCTTCCTCGTCTTTCCCAACCGTCGTCGTCCCCTTCTGTTTCTTCCTTCACGCCAGGATCTCAGTCGCTTCTTCCTGCGGCCATCAAACAGCAGAGATGGGCGCGGTAACCCTGCATTCAGCGCTGGGAAACCCCACGCTGACGGCAGCGTCACAACGCACGGCGGAGGGTCGGAGACCACTTCTACACATCAGCGAACACTGCCATCTTCGGTAACTAAAACATATCCCCCCCCAAAAATGACATATACCTGCGAAACTCTGATACCCAAACCAACAGATGGGTTATATTCATGAAATCAAAGTTTATAATAACACGGTGAGCAACTAGTATACTCGGAAGTAAGTTTAAACATTGGTCTCAAGCAAGAGGTTCCACATTTTCAGTTTCTAAAAGTGACAAAAACACTTTATTAGCAAAACAACATATCCCTATAATTAGCTTAACATGGCTTTAAAATAGAAAAATTATTTAACTGTGAACTAACATAATTTCAAACATGAATAAAAAGATTATTACACAGGAAATACAAAACAGGACAGTGGTAGACTCTTACATCTGTTAAAAAGTAAATAACACATAATTTTTAAACATTTTTCAAATGATTTTTTTATGTATAATGCATATTTTTCAACAGGGAACACAAACAGCTTAGTTTTAGAAATTAAATAGATCTAAATCTTAAAATCTTATTACAGTCTCCTGTCTTATTCAGATAGAGCTAGAGAATATTTACCCACTTTACACCACAAAAAATAAATAAATCTACACATCTATCAGAAAGCAGGGGCATCTCTTGGCCGTAGCCCCTTTTTATTTATTCTCAAACTTTTACATTTACTCTCAAATTTTTTTTTGAATTCAAAACTTATATATCCTGAAACTTATATATCCTCCAAAACATAAATATCCTTAGATGCTGATTTTTATGAAGCATTCTTAAACGCATACTGGATCTGAAATCTAATAGAGCAGGGGTCTTCAACGTTTTCGGGGACCCCCTAATTATATATATTACATGAAATTGTGTTATATCAAACTGATCGTATAGTCACTCTATTACAGATGGAGACATGTAATGAAAGTAATTTCTCCCTGGGATTATTAAAGTATTTCTGATTCTGATTCCTGGTTGATGGGACAGGTGTTGAGAATTAAATGGTGCCCAGCTTGAAAGAGCTCCTGAATTTGTGCATTGATGACCGAAAGACATCTTCTGTCTCCATTTATCTGTTTATTTCAGTGTGCTGAATTCATGATAATGTGAATTTAAAGAAATTTCAATTAATGGAAAAAATTGCAGGGGGGGAATATAAAAAAAATGAAAAATAAAAAATTCTAATCAACCAAAACTTTTGCGAACCCCAGGCAGTATCTCTACAGACCCCCTAGGGATTACTGACCCCCTGTTGAAGACATCCCTATAGAAAAAACTTTTCTTTGTCTGTTGCAAAACCTACCTGGATCCTCTTATGATTGTGTTTTAAAAGGCTTGAAGCATTAGCCCAGAAATAATCTCAATAGGAATAAAATACTTATTGCATAATTAATTTTTTTTTTTTAAATCTGGGAAAGCAAATGTTTGACAGTATGTATGTTATACTAGAATCTTGGTGAGCAGAGTGTGTGACAGAAAGTTGCTTTTTACGTGTGATATGAAAATGTCGGTACGCTGAACTGCTACCTCGGAAGTAACAGCACTGTTTCATTTGAAATTCAAAGCAGACGGGCCAGTTTTTACCACACACACGGTGCCAGCCTGAAAAGTGCTTCAGAAAGGATGGAAAAATAAAGGATCAAATTTTAGTTATTTCCTCCAATACTTTCCTGTTGGTTTATTTCATTCTGAGCAATGTTCATTATTAACTCTTAAAATAAGCAGTTTTATTAAATAAGTGTGCATATGAAATGCATTTTAATGAGATTACCTTTGTCATTTTTTATATTTTATAAAACTAATGTCTCTGTGCTTTTGCTTAGGATAAGTAATCACTAGGGATACATGTCCTGTGGGTGAACCATCACTGAAACACAGAGAGGTCTTAATCATTATCACCGGTTCTCCAGGCAGCACGCTCTGAGGAGGAGTTAATGCTCAGTAGGTTAAGGCGTTACTTGGAGACGTGGAACACTTTGCAGTCCTCTGAGGCAACAAAGTGTGCTTTGGGTTCGGTCCGATGGGGGACGAAAGCAGCTTCAGAGAAAGCCCTGGTTTGTGAGAACCTTCCACAATGTTACTGCCGACTCTGCCTTCACTCATACTGCAACTTTAACATGAATACAGTGGTGACAGTCATTTAAGTAAAGGGGAAAATTCTAACTATTTGTCAAAATATTATTTTTCTCATCTATTTTTGTTTAGTTGTTAGTTAGCCACATTTAAGCTCACCTCCAAAGACAGTAAGTAAACACCATAAAGGTGAGCACACACGCTTGTATGAAGGAAATAAAACCCACAAAGGCAAATGTACTGTTCTTGTGGGTGTATGTAAAGGAGCAGGGTTACTTGATATAGCAGAGTCAGATTTTAGAATGTAAGTAAATAAACATTTAAGCCATTTTTTTTTTTAGAGAGACAGGTGATGGTTTCTACCTGCTGCCAATATTTAGTCGCCCCTGGATTCACCCTCTCATCCGTTTGCAGACATGTGCTGTGAAGGTTCCTCAGCCCTGCTGTAAGGAGACCTCCGTTTTATCTGCTTTAACACTAACAATTCAAGAAAAACAATCTTTCCTCATCTTCATATGACCGAATCAAACATTACATCACTTTCTAACAGATACAGACACAGTTCTTAAACCTGTTACATTAAAAGTCCACCGCATACAACCAGTAAAAATAAAAAAAAATTTGAAGCATACATAGCCTAATTAATATAGTCTATTAACCTAAAGCAATATGCATGGTATTGTTGTTCCATGTCAGGTATGACTTTGACCAAGAAATCTTACAGTAGAACTGCAGTCAGTCCCTGACTGGCATGGCTATCACTGCCCCTACACAGTTAGGGACTAATTTAACACTGGGATCAGCTTCATAATCATGGTAGGCCATTTATTTTGCTTAGGCTACTCATAAGCCCACAGCCCTTCAGATGTTGAAAGGGCAATATTATTGCCATTACTGTTAATATATAGTAGAAATTTTACACATTCAGCAATAAAATGTCATAGGGGATGATATGGGGGAATGGTCATTTAAGAAGGGGTATGATTTTAAAGATTTTTTTTTAAGAAAGGGGATGCCATCCCTCCTCGTCTCAAGTACTGCATACAACAGACTGTTTTCATTGACAATAAAACAAGTTATGTTTGCAAAATGTTTCATTTTACTTTCACTCTTGTTCTACATAATAAAACGTTGGTTAACATCTTAAATGTAAAATCAGTGTTTTGGTTTGGGATTCCACATTCTTAAAGACAGAAGAAAGAAATGTTGGAAAACATCTGTATATTTTTCACTCTGACGTTTCTGTTCAGATTTATAGAAATACTCAAAGATCCTAGTTAGCCTGAATGTGGAGTTTAAGTAGCACTATCTAAGCGTATTAGTAAGAGATCAGGGCAGAAATCAGATTAAAAAAAGAGGCAAAACAGCAACACAAATATCGTCTCATATAATCTAATAGATTTCATAAAACGAGTGACATTACATGAGGCTAAGCTCTTAATGACCTTGCTTTTTATAGGCAGGTTAGGATGCAGTAATCTGATTTATTATAATCTCTTACAATCTCTGATAAATGCTTACTGCATGAATCTCAGACAGGTCAGCTCCTATTGGTCCATTACAAGGCATTAGTGACATCTGCTGTTCAGACGCACAGAGCCTAACTAAACAATTTAAATAAGCCTTGTTGGATATGTAGTGTGGAGCGGATAGAAATCCAACATATAATTCAGTCACAATCTGGGTTAGGTTTAATGTCAGGCATAGCAGATTTTAGTCTTTTCTTGGGGGTGCTGAAGCAACCCTAATTTGAATCAAAGCACCCCTAAAATATGAGTTGTTTTTTTAATACTGTATGTGCTTTTTACAATAGAAAAAAAAAAAAAAAATGTGACATTGTAAAAACTATAAAGTATTTGGTTATTTAACCCCTTCAAGCAGCAAGGTGTGTGCAAAGTGAGAGGTGAGGAAAAACCAGGTAAGAAAACTGACAGAATAGCAGCAGCTGTTAACGTGGCAAAGAAAATTCAGGAGATTATTTTACATATATCACGGAGGTAATTTTGGTAAACAAAAGAGAAAACTCATTTCATGAAAACTGATTCAAAGGTTTCCATGAATTGAGTTGATTTAAAAGCTTTAATTGGTTGGAATATTCTTTGCTTTTTGTTTTGGTTGTTAGGTTTTTGGCACACGTCTCAGATACGATGCATTAGGACAGGGGTCTTTAACGTTTTCCAGGCCAAGGATCCCCAAACTAATGGCGAGATGGAGCGGGGACCCCCCAATTATATATATTGTATGAAATTGTGTTATATCAAACTGGTCCTATAGTCACTCTGTTACAGATGGAGTAATGTAATAAAAGTAATGTCTCCCTGGGATTATTAAAATATTTCTGATTCCTCGTTGATGGGACAGGTGTTGTGAATGAAACGGCGTTCAGGTTGAAAGAGCTCCTGTGGTTCGCTGAATGTGTGCATTGATCATGGGCAGTTCTAGATGGGAGCCAACGGGGGCCAGTGGCCCTGTAGCTCATGTCCTGTTGCTGTCTGTGCTAGATCAGACATGGTTACTGATAGGTCCTTTGGATCTATTTCATTTTTTTTCTTTACAAATTCTGTTTTACTAATTATTTAAAAACAATAAGGTGATAGATTTAGTAGCATTGAGATAGGATCCAAGTTTTCATTTGCTAAATGTTTTTTTCAAAACAATACTATTTTTTAAACATTTTTACAGCTGAATTGATCAGTTTTTCTTGAGTTCTAATTCAGATTTTATTGAAAACGGTCATTTTAACTTAAATTAAGTCAAAAAATGTAAAAAAAAAAAATTATGAATGTATATTGACCTAATAAGACATAGAATTTTAATTAAACCTAATTGAATATAAATTCCACCTCATGCAGTTCTCTTAATATATTTGAATCCCTTGCCCTGTTCTTTTATTTCATGCTTTTCTGTGCCCAAATGAAAACAGTCTGGCCCACTCCTGGCACCTGGGTACATTTGGTCTGGAACCGCCACTGGCATTGATGACTGAAAGACATCTTCTGCCTCCATTTATCTGTTTACTACAGTGGTTTGAATTCATGTTAATAGATAAAGATATTTCAATTAGTGGAAAAAATTGCTGGGGGGAATATAAAAAAAAACTGTTTAAACAACCAAAACTTTCGCAACCCCCATGCAGTACCTCCGTGAACCTCCTAGGGGTCGTGGACACCTGTTGAAGACATTCGCATAAGTGAATGATGGAGTTAGTCATTATCAGAACGCAATAAACAAGTTTCAAAAATATGAGTAGAAAACAGTGAAGTTAATTTTGTCTGGCCAGACAGCTCTCTGGCACGATTAAAACTCTAGTTCTAGAATCACCCCTGATGTCAGTTCAGCTGGAGACTATGTAACTAATGCAACAACAATACAATAAAATCTGGCTACTATCCTTTTATTCCCTAAGAATTTTTATTCAGTCACAGGGATAGTTATCAATGAAATATTTTTTCCAATAAAGCTGTATTAAATGGAGGTTCCAATCAGTTGAACTGGTTGTTTAATGCAGAAATACTTCAAGACATTCAAAAACAATGAATAAGTACAATAATTGTCCTGAAATGTCTATCATATTTTTTAGTGCATAAATGGAAAGACGGAGCTTTAAGTAGTCTAAAATATAGAAATAAACCTTGAAAAATGTACACTTTTAAACTGTATTAAGAAAAATGTGTTCATATAATCTACACCTTAATCAACTCTACTCTTTAATGCTTTGCAATAGTGTTCACATCCTGCAAATGATTTTCACATTGTGTTAATTATAACACAAAAGCATTTTATGCATGTTAGTAGAATTTTATCTGATAGACAAACATACAGTAGCTTCTAATATTTAGAATGAAAGGAAAAAGAAAAATACATAAAAAAAAAAGTTTAAACCTAGAATATTGTTGTCAGCCCTATGTACTCTGTTATAGCATCCACCTTAAATGACAATGGTGCATAAAAATCCAACAAACATTACTTTGTCTTCCTTCTCTCAGAATAAATAGGACTCCAGCTCTTACCCATGGAGGTACTGTACCTCCTCTGCATACACTACACATGAATAAAACCGTTACAGTGTATTCAGGGTCAGGTGTTTGAAAAGTTAGATATTTCATATTTGGTGATTCTGGCTGTCTGTTTTTAATGTCGCCCTGGGTATTTTCACACATTCTACAAAAAACGACAAAAAACCCCACAAATAACTCAAACATATTTCCTCTTTTATTTTTTTTTAAACTAGACAAATGAAACTTTATGAGAGAGGCACAGTTTCAAAGAAATGCTTTCCAAGTTTTTCGTTTGGCAATTTTTTCAAACTAAAGTAGCAAAATACGGTAAGATGTTCTTTTTTTGTATATCCTAAGTATTTAAAAACAGATAAAAAAAAATGCTGATGCTCCCAAAGAGTGAAAGGTTTCTGCATCATAAATAAAACAAAAAGAGTAAGCCCCCTCGAAAAAAAAACAAAAACAACCTGTAACCGCTAAGTTTAAGTACCTTTCAATGAATTTCATTCTCACAATATTTTCAGTTAAAGAAGTGGAGTTAATGAAAAGATTCCTGTCTTCTCATTTAATCCATGTCCTGCATCTGTCAGTCAGCAGTGGAAGAAACCATCGCCATGAAGGTCACTCTGTAAACGATGACCTTATCACTCTTCAAAGTCAGGGGGACACACACCTGGACAATGTCAGAGGGCTGAAACAACAGATGCATGATAAATCATTTCAAGAAGTTTTGATCAAAAACAGATTTTTTCTAAATCGTCAACTTGAAGGCAAAATCTAATACACACAAAATACAGGTGCTGTTCATGGAGTTAGAATATCATGAAAAGGTTGATTTTTTTACTGTTAGTCCATTAAAAAAAAGGGAAACTTGTATATTATATTCATTCATTAGAAACAGACTGATATAGTCAAAGTGTTTATCTCTTTTAATTTTAATAATTATAACTAACAACTCATGAAAACCCAGAATTAATTTTCTAAGAAAATAACAAAATTGTGAAAAGGTTGAATATTGAAGAAACCTGCTGCCTGCGAGGCCTTTAAAGGATTTCTCAGGCTGTGTCTGAACATCCGACTTAAGCCCTAAATCCCTCAGCCCTATACAGAGCAGAGAACATATAGTGGACTTTATAGTGAACACAGTTAACAGACTGTTTGCACAGATGATCACTACCTTTTCAGTCCCCGTTGGCTATAGCTTCACCTTCCAGCACGATGCATGCACAATCTTTGCTTTTCGTCGCCACCAAAACAAATCCTATAAAGCTTTGGGAGGACAGCTCTTGCAAAGCATCCAGGGATATATCTGTTCGTCTAGTGACCTTCAATGATCACAAATTTTCAAGGGGCACTGTGGGAAATTTCAATTCCACTACTGTTTTTAAACACTAGATGTTTGCACACTCATCTAAAATGGTGTAAATACTATATACAGTAGCAGCCATTCAAAATGGACCTTCCTAGTCAATTGCCAGCCGAATGGCAGCCCATTCCCTGGAACTCCCAGCAGATTCCCCTCCAACTTCCAGCCTCCTTTTCCTGGGCGTGCATATTTTTTTACTCTGACTCCACCCGTTCACTAAATTACAGGGTCTGACCAGGAGATGACGCTTCTCTTTAGATCTTATTGTCCACAAGTCATTAAAGAAACAATATTTTAGTACAAAGATTGATGTCTAAAAAGGAATTATAGGGGACCAGCCAAGGGCCCGTCAAGGAAACTGGGGAAATTTTGAATGGCTACTACTGTAGTGCCATATATAGGGGTTAGGGCGGATGTGCGGACACAGGAAGACTGCTTATTTGAAAATTGTCCTAAAGATGAGCTCTGACACTATGGACAGGGACAGTAAGACACAAAAGCTCATTGCTAAAGAGGCTGGCTGTTAAGAGCTTTGTGTCCACAGGAATCAATAAGGAGGCAAAGGGAAGGAAAATATGTGGTAGAAATAAGTGTAAAAGCAAAAGGGATAACTGCACACTAGAAAGGATGATGAAACCCATTTAAAAATGTGGGGTAGACTCACAAAGAGTGGGTAACTGGAGTCAATGCTTGAAGGACTGGACAGCTGCTTTATGGTTCAAAGGGATGCTCTCTGATCAGAGTAAATTTAGCGTTTCCTTTGGTAATCAAAGATTCAGAGTCTGGAGGAGGAGAACGGAGGCGCAGAATCCAGCCTGCTTGAGGTCAGATTAAAGTTTCCACAATCGGAGATGGTTTGAGGTGCCATATCATCTGCTGTGTTTTCTGAGGTCCAAGGTTAATGCAGCCCTGCACACAGTGCCACAGCTACCAGTACCTGGCTGAAGGACCATGGTATCCCTGTTCTTTATTGGCTAGCAAACTCACCTGGCCTTAACTCCATATAACATTTTTAGTTGGCCATCATTTGTAGAAATCCTTTTTTATACTGTTTCAAAAAAAAATTTTGAGATGCTGATTTGTCTTTTTAAGTTATACAATATAAACTTCAAAATGAAAAGAAATAAATATTTGAGATGTGTGAGTCAGTGTGCAATAAATGCATTTAAAACAAAAGTTTCCTTTTTTGGAATGGAATTACAGCAGTATGGACTAGTACGGTAAGTTAAACAGCATTCAGGGATATTGGTGTTGCTATGGACTGAAGGGAGGTGAAGGGGTATGATATAATGACATAATGATGTCCTTATTTCTGAAAAGGGTTATGAAGATGTTAAACGTTACATTAACATTTTATAACATTTACATATTAAATTTGTAAAAAAAAAAAAAAGTTTTATAAATAATTTTTTATTTCTTTTTTACTAGCATGTCTTAAAGTTATTAAATTAGTCACTCATTACTAAAATAATAAGCATCTGTAGATCAGGTTGCCTCCACCTCTGTATGCTGCTCCATCCTCTTAGCATACCTCCTTTGGGCTTAGCCCAGAGATGGAGGATCTGGAGTCAACAAGTCATCTGTATGTCATGTTTTTATTCTGTCCAACCACTGAACCAGGTAAGTCTAATCTACATAGGATAAACCGGATGGAACCTTTACTGGTTGATGATTTGCTTTATTCGGACCACACTGATTTTTAATTGGTTACCCCTGGTTTAATATCTATAAAGATCACTGGCTCCATCCACATCTAGTGAAAACTAGTGTAATTGGATGGGTCATATAACGGAAACACTCATAGGAAATGATCAGAAGCAAGCAGGTGTTCTTCAAACTGCAAACGTTAATTGTCTAAGCCATGCTACAATGTTGGATTCAGAAAAAGATGTTAAAATGTCTGAAAGGTCAGACACAGGCGAGAGCGTATCGGGAGATGGAGACCAACAAGACTTTAAAATTCATATAGTGGCATCTGGCTGTTTATTTTAAAGGTTACTTTATACATTCATACTTTAAGTAGTTTTTGGAGCACATACTTTTTCACTTTTACTTGAGTAAAGAGATCAAGTTGATACTTCAACTTTTACCAGAGTGTTTTTAAACTGCAGTATCTATACTTCTACTTAAGTACCAAATGTGTGTACTTTTAACACCACTGGTGTCACTTTCATTATATCATTACACAAATGAGCAGTGTTATGAGTCACATTAATAGCCACAAAGTTCTGGTTGTAGTTTAATTTTTCCCTTTGATACTTCTCTGTGAGCACTGCTGTCCTTTCCATAAACCATTGAAAATCATGGACTTATGATGACAGGGTAAAACGGCAAAATGAAATGTCCCTGGTCAGCTGAACATTCTCAGAAGATGTTTATTTTCTTAATGTTTTAGTAAGATATTTCCAAACTGCTGTTGTTTGGAAATATCTTGCCTTATGGAATATTGAAGTATTTCATTCTGGCCTGAAAATAAATCATCTCACCTGCTTATTCATATCAATCTAAGGTGCTTTATCACTGAATTCTAGTACGGTAATAGCTTAAGTATTTGTTAAGGAACGTTTTTCCTTGTTTTTAATTAACTTGGACGTGCAATTTTTAATTTTTTTTTATGTTTTTAAGCCAAGAACCACAACCAGGCACTGATTAGTAGTCTTTCGTCTTTAAATGGCCCTGATGAAATAAAAGTGAAAAAAATAATCAAGTTTTTCTGTAGTGTTTAAAGTAAATATATATGAAACTAAATATTATAATTTACTCCAAATAGATGGTTAATATATATATTTTGTGAATATTATTGTTGAAGAAGATATTGGTACCAGAGCATAAATGTATCTGTAGCTCACCTTATATCCGCTTTGGGGCGTCCATGTTATGGTGACACAGCACCTGTCTTCTGCCTTCACGCTGCCTTTAACAGGCTCCACCTGAAAGCCCTGCTGATGCAGAGATGCTACGTCATCCCAAGAAAACTTACCACTCTGGAGAAACATGTAAAACGCAAAGGTTAGAAACGTCACTGATAACTGATTATCATACAGTAAAGAAGCTCAGTGTCATGTTTGAAGGATGTTTTGTCCCCTCCAGCTGATCAAACATAACTAGGTTGTCTCCGGAGAGCTCCAGTACGATCCAGGTACCTTCTTAGTGGCTTTTCGGGAGCGGATGCAGCCCACCTGCAGTTCCCTGACAGCAGGTCTGATGACACCTCCACTGCACCGGGCCTTCAGGGTGACTAATACATGGAAACTTGACTCCTCCTCTGGATCTGTTTGTGGAGAAAGTTTTACAGTTTAGCGCTTTAGGTACAAATTATATCCTGTTTTATCTCTCTTTGAATACAAGTTGATTCCATCCCTATTTTTGCCGATATTTGCATTTTCTTTTGGAATTCTTTTTCATTCATGACAAAGATATGATTCAGCAGCCATGGGCTAAAATCCAGTGAGTCGTATGTATTGCAGCTCCCTCTATTTGCTATCCATTGTCAATGTTTTCTTTGATTTTTTAATATATATTTTTTGATAAAATTGGGACTTTTTTAAGTAAATGGAGGAGGAAAAGGCATTAAATTATTAAAAATACCATCAAATAAACAGCAGGTATCTGGAATATCCGGGAACAGTTTGAAAGGTTTGAAGGTATTTAGCTGTTGAAACGTTTCACATTTTATCCAAATTCAACTCCTAATTTTAACAAATGTGATATAGAAGGATAGAGTGGTAAAATTCAATAAAAATACTCTTTATTATCCCACAGGGGGAGATTCAGGCGCCTCAATGGCAAAGTAAATATCTAATGAAGACATACAGGAATACATCAGGCGAAAACTTGTAAAATATACAGTAAGGAGTTAGAAATCAAAATTTTGAAAAGAAAAGAGAAGTATTTCGGTAAAAAAGCAGCCTAATTAAAGATCTACAAAAAAATTATTATCAGAAGCATATACTCTTTGCATGCTAACAAGTAAAATTTGGTCTGAATTAAGTAGAGGGTGTTCTTTCACACGTAAGCCCAGCCTGTTACATAGTTGGCTTGTGCAACCTGGCGTTCTTCAACTGTAAAGTCAAAGCCGTCCACAAACCGTTTCTCCTGCCACAGGTTTTCCCACCTGAGCTGTGGTTGTCTTCACTGAGGCCTTCTTGGCTGCATCTCTTATCATATCTCTCTATTATCTGGTTTTCCCATTTCGATGGACTGACACCTTTGTAGGTTTAAAATTGTGGCACAGTTCTTCTCTTTTTTGGATTACGGATTGAAAAAAATGGGATTGAATTACACACACAAGAGCACATCTTTTAAAATTCAAGTGCATGGGGTCTGAAAAGAAATGTAAAATAGTCTCTGTCCTTTACTTTCTCAGCTATGCCATACTTTCTTTTAAACTCATGAACGCATCATAAAATCCAAAATAGACAAAACATCAAAAAGCATGGCATCAGATGTCATGGTTGATGAGTTCAGGATCCTGTGATTATGATCAATTATAAAATGTGTCAGCAATTTATTAATGACATTTCAAACATTTGATTAGGATTTTCATTCCTAAGAGAATGTGACTTTCATCAGAGTCTCAGGAGGGGATGGAGGTGAGGTTTTGATACCTGGGATGATGAGAGGAGGAAGGGGGGATTCAGGAGGGGACGTTAGAGGACATCCTCCATACAGATACATGTTATGTGAAGAAGCTGCCCCTTTCAGATCCATCTCACAGACTTTTCTCTGTGAAGAGAACAAGCTCATGTTCAAAGTAAGAACATCATGATGATCAAAGTGTAGAAAATCCATTAAATAATGACTTTTATCATGAGAAGAGTAGAAAGTCCCCATGAAACTTTGTATAAAGGACAGCAGAAAACTGATATAACCTGAAAACTGGTGTTTGCGTGACAGCAAATGTGTTTGTGGTGGTGCTGACCTTATTTATGAGCTCTATGGTGAGTTTGTCAGAGTAGCAGACAGACGGATGGTCGGGCTGAAAAGTGATGGTGATGTTTTGTTTCTGTCCAGGAGCGATGGTGCCCTCTACTGGCGTTACGCTGAAAGCACTTAACCCACTGTAGTTCTGGGTTCCTGCAGGAGACGGAGGGTTTTCATTGACTTCTATACCTGCTACACAGCTGCATCCGTGCACCTCCTTTAGATTTAAGATGGATAAAGTATCACCCTTTTTATTCATACTTAGATCAGCACTAAATCAACACCATATGGGTCACTGTGTGGTCAGAGAGTCCAATAGACTTAACTCACTGTAAGGTTTATACAACATTTCTCCTCCTTAAATCTACCAGAATATCACATCCAAAATGATACCAATGTCCAAAAAGATACAAAAGACAAGTTAGAAATAATTAACTCAAAAGGCCTTCAGATCTTACCCACAGTTGGGCGGATCTTAGAGCTTCTGTGTCCATCCTGCAGCAAGGCCATGATTTCAGCATCACTCTCAGACCTGGTAAGAGACTGACTGGCCAGCAGCACTCTGAAAGGTGCTGCCAACACGGAGCTGTTCTGTAACTGAAGGGGAAAACAGAGAGAAACACTCTCTAGGAATATTGGTGTTGTTAGGGACTGAAGGGAGGTGAAGGGGTATGATATAATAACATAATGATGTCCTTATTTCTGAAAAGGGTTATAAAGATGTAAACCGTATCTATTATATTAAGATTTTATAACATTTATATATTAAATTTGTAAAAAAAATGTTTTATATATATTCTTTATTTATTTTTTACTAGGATGTCTTAAAGTTATTAAATTAGCAGAGATGGCAAAAGTACTCACTTTCCGTACTTGAGTAAAAGTATAGATACTTGTGTTAAAAAATACTCTAGTAAAAGTGGAAGTACTGATTAAACTTCTTTACTCAAGTTCAAGTAACAAAGTACAGGCTTGTAAATTTACTTAAAGTATAAAAGTAAAAGTAGAAACCACTTTTTTCATGCCGTTGCCTACATTTTAAATGGATGTCTGCCAATAGGACTAGATCTCCGTTGTGTTCATTTTCAATCATCTCGTCGTCCATACTACTATGCTAACGCCACCGCCAGCAAGCTGCAATGATTTGCCGCCAATGAATACCGCCGAATCTGTCGATTCATCTTGTAGTGGTGCGTCAAATGCAACGTAGATTCCCAACCAATTAGATTGAATTTGGTATTGATGACGTGAAAAATAATAACGGTAACTCCATTGAAATGATTCAAAACTAAAGTAACGAGACAATTTTTAAAAATGTAAGGAGTAGAAAGTACAGATGTTTGTGTAAAAATGTAAGGAGTAGAAGTAAAAAGTCGCCATAAAAATAAGTAGTAAAGTAAAGTAAAAATATCAGAAAAATCTACTTGAGTACAGTAACAATTTATTTGTACTTCGTTACTTCCCATCGCTGTAAATTAGTAATATTCCTAGGTGGCCAGACAATAACCAATGTACACTGAGAGGTGGCCGAAAGTGAAAAGGCGCCAGAACCTCAGGGTCAAGCCTAAGATGAGAATAACTATACTTTCCTGCAGCCTTTGCTAACAAACAGACACATATATTTAAACATCCGTGCTAGGTAGATAAAAGGTATAGTGGATAAAATACTTTCAGGTTTAAGATCTGGGGCAAACATCTTTTCCATTGTCACTACTTATCGATAATCATTCTGCATAAAATTGTTATTTACAAGTACAAATATCTACATAAATTGGTTATTAAATACGTTTTTATTAAAATAGTTATTTATCTATGATTTCCCTGAAGACTCCTAGATGACTTGCAGAGACACATCATTTTCTCTTTAGCCCATATAACAGAAAATCTAGTTCTGAAAAGATATATGTGTTAGTATATCGATGTGTATACTGAACCACAGTGGTTTTGTTGTCAAGGAATTATGAATACATGAAAATATAGTAAGTAATATATAAAAAATTAAAATGAATATTCCACTTGAGATTATTACTGCTGCCACCATCTGTATTAGAGGGAAAAAATGGTAGGGGTGGCCAATGATTGGCTAATGGTGGCCATGGCCACCCATGGCCACCATTAGCCAATCATTGGCATCTAGCTCCGCCCTTGCTGCTTAGGAACCAAAGCTATTTGTTTCTTGGTCTTAAAGGTCATCTGAACTAATGAAAGATGCTTATTTTTTTCTCTTGTCCTTTCTCTTGATATTGTGCTCATCCATTATGTATCAGGCCTCTGTTAGATCTTTTTTTCACAAATCACAGTGTCACATCCAGCTTTTTTGTTTTTTTGGGGGGTGGTGTGTTTGTGTGTGTGTGTGTGTGTGTTTTAGAAAAAGTAGAGTTTAATTGTTTCTATTATAATGTCCTGAACCTTTGAAAGTACAGCTGATAAAGGTGTTCAAAAAGCCTTTAAAGACTCTCAGATTATTTAACAGACACAAACAAATCCGGGCATGTTTCTTTGTTTTTCCAATATTCAACAGCTGCCAACACAAATATATAGTTTAAAAAAAGTTACATTTATTTTAAAATAATTGTTGTGTCTGCTCTCTGACTTTAAATCTATTGATTGTTGTGGAATTATTCTTCCCTCTCTGAATGAAAGCACTGTAAATAAAGGCTGCCTTTTTCACAGGGAGATTTTGCTACGACTTGATAATTCATGCAGTAAACATTTTCAGCATATTTCTTTGATATTTATATTTGAATAAAGTTAAACATGTTAATCAAACTTTTCAAATATAGTTGTGAGTTGCATTGTGTACTCTGTCTTGTACCATGGTGACCAACTCACCTGCACATGCTTAGAGGCTTGCTCCTTCTCCAACATGAAGCCAAAGTCGAGGAGATCTCCAGTGGGAAATGAAGTGACAACAGGAAGCACACCCTCCCCTCGAAGAGTGATTTCCAAAGCTATATTCATGGTTTGAACCTTCAGTATCTCACAGTGCTGTGAAAAATAAAATGCAGGCTGGGTAACATATAACTTCACATTTAGAATGATGACTTGGTTTATTATTTGATCTATTAGCTGATTTCTTAATCGAAATCCTTAATCTATGTACACTAGAGAATGAAAAAGACAACAACACTTCTAAGTAAATAGCCTTTTGAATTGTTAACGGTGGCAGGACCGATCATATCTGATCTCACAGCATCAGATCACTCCTACAGAGTAATTGGTGCTATACAGAGGTACAAAAGTTGAAAAAATAAATTACTCAACTAAAAGTAAAATAGCTTAGATTACATCCATCCATCTATTTTCCATCACTCCATCATCTATTTCCAGCTGTCTACGGGCGAGAGGCGGGGTACACCATCGCAGGGCAACACAGAGACAAACAGGACAAACAACCATTCACACACACACACACACACCTAAGGAGAATTTAGAGAAGCCAATTATGTCATGTTTTTGGACTGTGGGAGAAAGCCGGAGTACCCGGAGAGAACCCACGCATGCTCAGGGAGAACATGCAAACTCCATGCATGTTCCAAATCCGGAACCTTCTTGCTGCAAGGCAGCAGTGCTACCCACTGAGCAGCCATGCTTAGATTACATGTAAGATACAATCTTACTCCAATAAATGTTAAGTTTCTAAAGCATAATGTTCCCTGAATAAAAGTCCCTCATAGAGGAAAATGGGATGTTGGCTTTAAACCGTCAATCAATAATCAACAGCTGCAATAAATAAGATAAGAAATTAGAATCTTGAAAAATAATGAGTTACTTTGGACCAACAATAGTTAAATGGTAAAATGGCTGTACTTTTATAACATTTTATTTTAACTTTTGTTTTCAAGATATTCAATCACTCATTCAAAATACATTAACACAAACATTTTTCTTGTTTATAAATGGAAATTACACACAAATATTATCTCTTAACATGCACTCAAATATATGTAAAGTTGAGAAATTCCAGTTAAAAGTGATTGAGAGAAAACATCATTCTGGAATCTGTGGAGTGTCTCCTTGCCTCCCTCTGACCCACTAAGAAAAAAAGCCCAGCTCTGCCACTGCTGTAAACTCACCTTCTTCTCCAGCGTCGGACTGAAAGCTAAAACCAAAGTAAGTTGTTCTCCAGGACTAACGCCTCTCATAGCGCTAAGCAGAGAAAAGGGACTATTCAGATCCAACAGTGACGACCTCAGCTTGCAAAGAGTTAAAGAAAAATTTTATTATTCATAACAATAATAGAAATCCAAGGACATCATTTGATATTACTTTGGGCATTAGAGCATCTTGTGTAGATTTGTGTGTTTGCAGTTCTTCCATCCATCTAGATTTTATTTGAAGGTTTAAACTCCTTTGATGTTTCTGCAGTATCTGACATATATAGATTGGGCATAACATTATAATTAACTTTAAGAGCATCTCTTAGTGTCCTCTGGGCTCTGTAGATTCCTGTGTGGATTGGATTAAGTCAACAGAGATGCTGCTTGATCATATCAATACACGTGTGGGTAGTTTTAGAGCCCAATAAACTCCTTCCATTCTACATAAATATTTCTAAGTAACTCCACTCATTTCTGCAGGCCCCTTTAGGTTGGCTTTGGTCTCAGGCTGCATCGTGTATCATGCATGTATGGCCAATTGATCTGCCACTTTTCATCACTTTTTTACCATGATGTCGTTAACTGTTGGAGATTCATTCGGTTAGTAGTAGTAAATAGCAAAGATCTATGGGGTAACAGACAGATGAAACAGACCATGATGTTTTATATATGGACATACAGACCAGCCATTTCTCCTCCTGGTCTGATGAAAATTCATTTAGCCTGCTTCAGCTTTGAAAAGTTAGCACGTTCAAAGATAAAACTGAACTTGTAAGAAGGCTCTAGCAGTTTTCTTAAGAGTAACTTTAAAGAGCATAAAGAAAAAAAGTTGTCAAGAGGCTAAATGTCAGGGGGCTGGATGCAGAGTGCATACTAAGATACTATGTGGGATATTTATTTTTATTTAAAGCGTATGCATTTTACTAGTAGTCAGCTATATATATATATATATATATATATATATATATATATATATATATATATATATATATATATATATATATATATATATATATATATATATATATATATATATATATATATATATATATATATATATATATATATATATATATATATATATATATATAAATAAAAATCTGACTTTAAAGGTACATTTAAAGTTGCCCGGAGAAAAGATACATCCAAAGGCTCGTTTGAAATGTTCTGAAGTGTTAACTGTTTCAGCTCTTTGTTTCCTGCAAAGGAAGCACAAAAAGAAAACAAATGAAACACTTAAACACAAATGAGTACAAAGTACACCATCCATCCATCCATCCATCCATCCATCCATCCATCCATCCATCCATCCATCCATCCATCCATCCATCCATCCATCCATCCATCCAGGCATATCTTATATATTTACAAAACATCTATTTCTCACCCACAAAAACCTGGTTGAAGTCTAAGACGTTACTGCCATTATTGGATATCACCAGCAGAGGGGGCCGTACAGCAGGACACTCCAGCTTCAGGTAGAGCTTATTTATGGGACTAAAAAGATAAAGTATGTGGAAAACAATGAAAAGAGTTATTTAAAACATGTTTTTTATATATATAATTATTGGATAAATCATACAAGTTCTTAGTAATATATTAAACTGACTTTTTGGGAGAAAAAAAAAAGGAAGCAAAACATTTAAGGGGCATTGTGCAACAATTACTCTTTTTTTATTGCCTTAACTCCATGACTCTATTTACATTTGTCTAAATATTGGTGCATTATTACCTCCACTAATAATCAGATACATTTTCCCAAGAGTATGAGTTTATACATAGGGTTATATGAGTTTATACATAGGGTTATATGAGTTTATACATAGGGTTGGTCACCCATTTGAGACGCTCCATGACGTCTGCCAGTGAGAGATAAAATAGTACCAATGCAAAGAATAATAAAGCATTTCTCCTGGCTGGAAGTTCAGTGTGATTGAGGGTCCTGTCACACCTTGCTGATTCATACAGCGTATGCCTGACGTCCCAAAATCTCCTAAAACGCTGGCATACGCTGAACTTTCTATGTATTTTTTAAAGTTTCGGCGTATGTGCATAAAAAAATGTCTTTGATTGTGGTATTAACCAAGCTGCTGTTTAACACCCACCAAAAAAAAAAAAAGAATAAATAAATAAAAAAACGAGAAAAAGAAAGAAGGTTTGCAGTCGCAGCAGATTCAACATCATGTTTGCTAGGAAGATTGTTGGACGTCGGAGTGAAGGCGGGGTGGATCATTCAAACGCACCTTCTCGCTCACACTATGAGGAGGATGAAGTCTGGAGGAAAGATGACTGTTTCCTCCTGTGAAACACCTTTTATACCAAAACTCTCCCATTACACTGTTATACAGTAGCTGTAAGTTAGAAACACGTTCAGCGAGCGACTGGAACACGTCAAATACGTTAATGTACGTTAGAGATAAGTTCTTGATAAGTTACGCATAAGTTATGCACAAGTTGCTCATAGGTTTAGGATAAGCTAGACGCCATGACTTATGAGTAACTTACACTTAACTTATGTCAACAATCAGATAACTTACCCGTAACTTAGGCCTCACGTATGGCATATGCTGGCATACGTACTCGCTGTATGTCGACGTGTGCCAGCGTGCTTCAGCGTTCTCATAACTTAAACAAAAAGTACCCATAACTTATCCAATGTATTCCAGCGTTTTTACCAGATTTCTCGTACGTCAGGCATGCGTCGGTCTAAATCGTTAAGGTGTGACAGGGGCTTGAGAGGCGACGACGGTGTAGATTATTTGGATACACTAACCCAACAACTGAAAGTCTGCACCAATGCAGTAGAATGCAGGACCATGCATATGCAGTAACAGCACGAAACACGGTTTCACCGTCCCCAAGAAAGCAAAAAAGAGAATTCTAACAGAACAAAACTGCAGACATCAAAAAACAAAAATAAACATCAGGTAAGTCTTTTTCAGGGTGGAAGGAGATAATGAAGGAGAAAGATTTTAAAAGTGACGCCAAAGTTAACATGTTTGTCCTTAAAGAGTAAAGTAAATATTCTGCCTAAATTAGTGTAAAGCTAACTTTTCCATTTGGTTTGATTAGACACTGTTGCTTGTTACCACAGAAACAATACCAGTAATCCTGTAAACATTAACAAACCTTGTTGGTACAGAATTGTAGGTTTATGAGGATTTAGCAGCTTTCAAAGCCGCGGTGAAAGCTGGCTTTTTGTCACAGTAATTTCCAGCTTGTAGAGACTTCACTTCGTCTGCGCTGTCAATGTTTTTTTGACACTAAGCGGCTATCATTGCCATAATGTGTGTTTTAGGCATTGTCGCGCTGGCGTTTAGTGTTCGTTGGAGTGAAATAGCCCCATTTTACCGCTAGGTGATGGTAATTCTAACACAATATCCCTTTAAGGTTTATTAGAGGATGTAACTAAGGCTTGCAATTTCTTTGCATTTCTTTTCTTCTTTCTCTAAAAACAACAGTTAATCTGCAGAAACTGAAGTTCTTCTTTTTCTAAGCACTTCTTTACCGACTGGTTTAGTGTTGGATATATGAAGTTTTAGACTCGTATTACCTCCATGCTGGTTGGATTTGTGGTTCTGATTTCGTTGGGTCTCCATCTGAAACAAAGCAGGGAACGGTGTACTCTCTGTAGCGCCGCACAAAGGAGTTCAGCAAAGAGGCCCTGGCCTTCCCGTACAGCACAGACCTTTAAAAGGAAACTATTTCTCAGGTTGGGCTAGATACTTGTTCTTAAAAGGTAAATGACTTTCCAATGTAAACACATTGTCGTTTATTGAAGTACTCATCAATAGGTAGTCATTGAATATTTATTTAATATCGTTTAAATACATAAAGAAAATAAAAAAAGGCTTTGGGGGATCTCACTCACCCTGGCTTTAAGTTGACTGGATCAGATGATTCGGTCATCTTGCTGCTTTCTGTATCCCCAGATGGCCTCTTCCCTTTGTTGGCCTCAGCACAGATGTCCTTTTTCATCTTGGATCACACAACAAAGATGTACAGTAAACAGAAAGGCGCCACTGACGTGATCCAGAGGAGGTGGAGGTCACCACCACTCAACAAAACCCTCCACAAACAGTAGACAGTTCTTATAGTTCACATAACCCCATTGATCTGCATGCATTGCTTACAACCACAGCCAGAGATCAACTCATAATGAATGAGAGCTCCCTGAATGGAGAGATGATGAAGGAGAACAAGAGCAAAGGAGCAGTGGGAATGAGAGTAAACACATAGAACTGAGGCCCAATTAAAAACAATCCCTCTGTTGAACTTTACAAAACATGGTGAGGATAGCAGTAGTCAAGCTCGGAATGACAGCGAGTGAAAAGAGGGCTGAGGAGAGTTTTTCTTTCTGACCACTCCTGCTTATTAAAAAGCATAATGATCAATGAATGATGCCCTTTGTCTCTCTGAAACAAACTAGAACAACACATTTCACCACCTCTAAGTAATGCCACCTCCAAGCTACTGTAAGCCATTGCTTGAATCCTAAGGCAAACAGATCACTATTTATGACTTTACAATACTTCATACCACACTCGTGACTTTACATTACCTCATACCACACTTGTGACTTCACAATACTTCATTCCACACTCATGAATTTACAATACCTCATACCACACTCGTGACTTTACAATACATCATACCACACTCGTGACTTTACAATACTTCATACCACACTCATGACTTTACAATACCTCATACCACACTCGTGACTTTACAATACCTCATACCACACTCGTGACTTTACAATACCTCATACCACACTTGTGACTTTACAATACCTCATATCACACTCGTGACTTTACAATACTTCATACCACACTTGTGACTTTACAATATTTCATGCCACACTTGTGACTTTACATTACCTCGTACCACACTCGTGACTTTACAATACTTCATACCACACTCGTGACTTTACATTACCTCATACCACACTCGTGACTTTACATTACCTCGTACCACACTCGTGACTTTACAATACTTCATACCACACTCGTGACTTTACATTACCTCATACCACACTCGAGACTTTACATTACCTCGTACCACACTCGTGACTTTATATTACCTCATACCACACTCCTTAGTTTACAATACTTCATACCAAACTCGTGACTTTACAATACTTCATACCACACTCGTGACTATACAATACTTCATACCAAAGTCGTGACTTTACAATACTTCATACCACACTCGTGACTTTACAATACTTCATACCACACTCATGACTTTACAATACCTCATACCACACTCGTGACTTTACAATACCTCATACCACACTCGTGACTTTACAATACCTCATACCACACTTGTGACTTTACAATACCTCATATCACACTCGTGACTTTACAATACTTCATACCACACTTGTGACTTTACAATATTTCATGCCACACTTGTGACTTTACATTACCTCCTACCACACTCGTGACTTTACAATACTTCATACCACACTCGTGACTTTACATTACCTCATACCACACTCGTGACTTTACATTACCTCGTACCACACTCGTGACTTTACAATACTTCATACCACACTCGTGACTTTACATTACCTCATACCACACTCGTGACTTTACATTACCTCGTACCACACTCGTGACTTTATATTACCTCATACCACACTCCTTAGTTTACAATACTTCATACCACACTCGTGACTTTACCATTCTTCATACCAAACTCGTGACTTTACAATACTTCATACCACACTCGTGACTATACAATACTTCATACCAAAGTCGTGACTTTACAATACTTCATACCACACTCGTGACTATACAATACTTCATACCAAACTCGTGACTTTACAATACTTCATACCACACTTGTGACTATACAATACTTAATACCAAACTCGTAACTTTACAATACTTCATACCACACTCATGACCTTACAATACTTCATACCACACTCGTGACTATACAATACTTCATACCACACTCGTGACTTTACAATGCTTCATACCACACTCGTGACTATACAATACTTCATACCACACTCGTGACTATACAATACTTCATACCAAACTCGTGACTTTACAATACTTCATACCACACTCGTGACTTTACAATACTTTATAACACGCCCAGAGAGGCTGTTTGCTTCATGCTTTTCTGTCATCCTGCTTTGATCTCTACAGACAACATGATCATTATATACCATCATACCTTGCTTGTTTATCGTAACCGCACCCCTTGTATTACCAAAAAAAAATCTATGTTGCTTTGAATGAGAAGAGAAGGATTTTAGAAGCTATAATGTATAAGTTTAACAACAGCAGCGTGAGAAGGGTTCCTGTTTAATGTTTGTCATAGTAGCAGGTCAGTGAAGCGGGTTGGTGGGTGTGCTTTCGTACCTCCTGTTCAATCGGTCTATTTTTTGTCTCCTCATTCTCTCTGCTCAACATATCGCAGTGCAGCTGACGTAGGGCCTCTTCTTTAATCTCCTCCTCTGAAAGTCGAGGTCTGAATATCACCCGAACCAGACATTTCTGGAGAGGGAAGTGTGGTTATATTTTAGAGAGATTCAGAGAATTATGGTCTTCATGGGTTTTTCCCGAGGTGAAAAACATTAAATGGACCACAGAGGATAATTACTGCTGTGTTTATGCCAATCTGTGTTTATTCAGAAGCACAAAACTGATAAGAAACCTAAAGGAAAATAAAGCTATTTAAAAAAAAAATGAAACAAACTAAAACCAGACAACTCGTGCGATATAACTGATTATTTTAAGCATGTTGTTACAGCTTTGGTGTTTAGCTCCCCCCATTTCGTCATCAACTCTGACCAACTTTACTGTTCTTGGAAGTCCACAGTGTTTACATGGGAGTTTTTGATCCCTTTTAAGAAACACTGCTATGTGTCATTAAAGGGATGGTGTGTTTAGATAATGTGCGTTTTTTTTGTTTAATCTGAGCAGAGACGAGTCTTCCACCTGTTGTTGCATCCCCTCAGATTTTGGCACAGAGGTTGGTCAAGTCTTTGTAGACCCACCAGTTTTTCAATATATTTTCTAAAAGATTAAGATATTCTTTTACAACTTTCACTTTTACCTTTCTGCTGTGTTCCTTGGCTTTATGATGCAAAAGCAGCTTGATTTACTCTGGAATTTAATTCTAATCAGGTGATTTTAAAATATATTTGGTTCCACTGAATTCTGTTTATAACGTGACAAAGTTAGCATAAATTTAAAGGGAATGCTCCTTTTTGAAAGGTTAAGAAAAACTAATTGGGAAATAATCTCTACTATAAAAAAGAATTTCTTCACTTTTTTGAAGCATTCATGAAAATAGAGCAAAGAAAATATTAGTCCTTCACTTTTATCAAGCCTCCAGTAGAGTGCATCAGCAGACCATAAGTGACGACTGTCTCCTGGTGCAAAACTGTCTGTAATTGTGACATGGAGAGCTTTCTCTTTATGATCCTCTAGTATTATTTACCATAAAATAAAAATCATCATGAAATAGATCTGATTTAATTCTGTGTAGAAGCCCTAAAATGATGGAGATTCAAGATGCACTAAAAATCATTGCATCAGAAAAGCTCCTCTACGTTTTAAATTAAAACATTAACATAGGAGACATTGTTATTAACCTCTCTGGGTAAAAGGCGTCCTGCTGAAGGAATAATGCTGATGTCTGAATCCTCTGGCACACTGAAGGTGAACAACCTGGGGCCATCAGGTTGAGTTGTTGGTTCTTTGCACTGGTCACCGTCAGTCGGCTGGTTAGTCAGGTACAGTAAGGCAGTGGACTCATTGCCTAGTGCAGTAGGTCTGAACTGAACCAGAGAGTGGGACAGCTGTAGCGGAGGACGGACACCCACACCTCGACAAGACAGCAGAAAGTCTCTGGTGAAACAGAGAAAGATTTTCAATGTTCTATAAACTTACATATGCAACATTTACTCAAAAACAAAAGGGTTGAAAATTAACCTGTTGATTCCAGATTTGCAGATAAGTTGGAAGTTATATTCTTTTGCTTTTTCAGGGCTGAAAATAAGATCAACCTCCAGAATTTCTTGAGGAAGCAGAGTCCCAAAGCCATCGTTAGGCTGGACCTCAATAAACTGTAGGATCAGAAGCTAAAAATTATGACAAGAACTCAAACTGACAGATGAAACTTTCTACATGTCATTAATCAAAATAATAGCATTAATCTACAATGAGCAGCTGGGTATTTATTGATGACAGGTTTTTACATAAGCATGAGGCTGAAACAAGGGATTAAAATATCTCCTTAATTTGGCTTAATCCACGTTTTTCATGAATTTGCTATAGAATAGCTTTGAATCCCATCCGATATACATCCTTGAACCTCATCTATACAGATTCTAAGAATAGTAGCACACCCAGAAGTGGTGGTTATCAATAAAAGGACAATAATAATGTTTTCCTTCGTTGGTACTGCAAGATTTTGTGGCAGGTGATAGTTAACTATGTGTTTAATTTTTATAAAAAGTTGATATTTCTACCGTTTAAATGAGAAAAATATCATAAAGATCCCCAGAAGTTGGGGTTCAGAGTGATTACACCAGAGTTTCACGATCCAAGATGGCCGACTTGCATGTGTGATAGCAGCAGTGTATTTTCCCACAGATAAATTTTCCTTCCTTAAATCGTTCACAGACGCACCACGTAAATCTCCTTAATTCAATATGTTTGCACAAAATAAAAAATTTGAATGTGCAGAGAAACACAAGTTTAAGCATGTTATGTTGACAAAAATGAAAAAGATCTCTGAAAATACTAATTAGCCAATCTTTGTAGATCTCAATTTTAAAACACTATTAAAGTTTGAAACCTTTCCTAAATTACAGTGTTACTAACTAAATGCATCATATTTATTATGCTCGTATTTAATTAAAAATAGTCAATATCAAGATTTCGTCAGTAAACCAGTAAAAGTTAACTATGAGCTCAACAGTATTGGAACAAGCATACCTCAGGAACGGCCACAAAGCCAAAGTCTTGAGGGAGGAAGGACATGTTGGTCAGGCGGACTCTGCTTTTAACCAAACTGTAGATTGAACAGTAACCAAAGTCCACCTCTGTTGGGTCAAACTGCAGGTCTGTAGATGTGACAATTGCCTGTACTGTAAAATGGGCAGGCTGCACCTAGAGAGATATATAATGCATACAGTGGATAAGGGATACATTTTTTACCCTTCCTTGAACTTTTATTTCATTTCAAGTTTTGTTTTTTCATTTCTTTTATAGTATGACATTAACGAAACACAGAGACCCAGCATTCATTGAAAACAGAAGTCATTCTTGTTTGGAGATATAAATAAATAGAACAGTATCGACTTGTTTAACCTTAATCTTAACACAAAAGACAAAGTATGTTTTTAAGCATATGGTTGTATTTCATCACTCGGCAGCCGTTAAATGTGTGTTTCTGTGAGTGTATCAGACACAGTTCTGGCCTGAAGTGTGCAGTGGAAGTTGAAATAGACAACAGATGAAAAGGACATCAAACTTTCTCCTTTTTTTGGTGTCGTCCTATGTGTTCACATCAAACGAAAGTACAGGATGTAACATTTCCTTATACTCCTCCTGTGAAACTTTACTCACATTTCATTCGGTCACATAAAGTTGGATCTATCAATACCTACATTCATTTTAAGTACATTGTTGGTGCAGCAAAAAGTATCTACTCCCTTACAAATTTCTTTTGACTTTATTTGTCAAACTTATACAGGGTTTATACAAGAATGAGTAACTCTAATTTAATCCTTTTTAATGTTCTTTTAATGGTCTTAGAAACAATTTTAATGCCATCAATAGGTACCCATGAATATCTATTTATATATATATATATATATATATATATATATATATATATATATATATATATATATATATATATATATATATATATATATATATCTATATAAAGGAGCTAGCTTTATTTATATAAAAATACAGCAAAATCCTTAGTCATCTGTACCGTTGACAGGCTGCAGCCATGTCCCGAACTCCTCGTTTTCCAGCCATTTATGCATTTTCCCATTCTCTACCTTTATCTCTGCCTTGAGCTTCTTTTCTGAACATAGAACTTTACCATCAACTGGAAGCAGTTCCACGCAAACAACTAAGGCCTTAATTTACAAGAATCATAATTTTAAGACTTTTTAACAATTTTTAATGACCAGCGGAAACCCTTTTATATGTTTTAGACTGTCACAGAAATTTTAATATTTCAGAGAAGGATTAACTGTTGAAACAAAAGTCAGTCTAAATGTTATTATTATAATGTAGGGAAAAAAGATGTACAGACTTACCTAACCCCCTGTTAAAGAGTGCTTACTCTGTGAACCTTTAAACTGATCGTGCCACCCTTGGTGGGGAATGTGATTCTTTAACAAGTGAAGGAATTCTGGTCCATGTTTCTTTGAAGACCAGCTTTCTTTTAGCCAAACTGGTGTGTTTTGGAAAATGATGTTATTTTCAAGATAATGTCATTGATAAATTTTTGGTTCAGCTTTTGATCCACTGGATGGGATGACTGTACCAAGAAGCTTATAGTAAGAACCCCAGTCACATCCTGAAATGTGTTTGCTTCTCAAAAAAGCCAGAAAAATCAAACATATGCTGTAGGACTATTTTAAGAGGAGGATTAATGCAGATTTTATCCCTGTTAACAGATAAAGCAGCATCATCCAAAAATAAACTCTAGCATGCTGGCATTAATGAGTCATTTTATCACCAGGTGCAATACTTTGGCCCAAAATGGATAATTTGTTTCATTGTCTGATAAAACTACTGAACTGTGGTCGTGTTTGTATTTAATTAGAATCATTAAACAAAAGAAAACGAAGAAAACTTGTTTGAGACATTTTTCTCCCCCTCTTCTTGTTTGACTCAAGCTGGCATCCTCTTGAGTCATGTCAGTACTCATTGGTGGACATTGCTGCTGCAGCATTTCTCTCCCAGCTGCTGTGTTGTCTGCTGACCAAACGGTGAGTGTATGAATGTGTGCGACTGTTTCTGATGGTTAAATGCCAGGAGCCCAGGGCCCAAGGCTGGGGGCAACAGCTTTGATGCTTCACAGGAACATCCTGGCTGGGTTTATTTGGCTCAGACACAGCGGTCCTCTCCTCTTTCTGCCCTTGTAGAGGAGTGGACCATTGGTTGGCTGGCAAATGAGAGGAAGGTGACGGTTTGGCAAGAAGTGTAACCAGATTTAGATTTGCTGAAAACAAACCAAAAGAAAAAAAAAAAAAAAGCTGGCAGACGCACAGCCCAAATGTTGCAACGGCTGTTTTGGGCTCCTTTTTTTAAATAAAAAATACAGTTTACATAATTTAAACATACTAGATAAAACTTAAGAAAATAACATTTATATTTGAGCTTTAAATGAAGGCTGAATTGCAAATTGCAACTTTGTAAATGTTTGTGCACTGAAGTCAAAAAACAGATGGAGGCTAATTAAAAGAAAAAACATGAGAGCTTGACCCCTACAGTGATGGGATCCAGTAGCTTTGCACTGAGGGGTATTTCGCAGGTATGATTTATGTCTATATGCCCTCTGACCAGAGGAGAAAGTCCCTTCAAATATAAACAGAGAGGTCATTTCTATCCACATAAAATACAGATCAGAAATGACTGAAAGGATCACATCTAAAATGTAATTCCAAATCAAGGATCTCGTTTCTAGGTTCCTTACATTTCTAATTTTTTGCACCTAAGACTCTGGTATCAGAAAAATGGAAGACCAAACATGCCAAAGAAATAGCAGCAATAAACCAGAATATTATTGTGTGATTTAAAAGTTAATCGTAAAACAATGGCTTCCATTATTCAGGAATTCAAATCATTTTGAATTTATGTCCAAAGCTCTAAAAGATCCTGCGTCGATTATAGCTTTAAACCTATAATCAGAATTTAGAAACAAATAATCCAAATCTACATGGACAGTTAGTGTCTTTTTCTTTTATGTGTTCATAAATTGTTTTCTTGTTTCAACAAGACGATTGATTGAAGCCTTTCCGCCTCTATATTTACACGTTCTCAGGTGTGATGACCTGTATACTGCATGGCTGCAGCCAAAGGTTTTAGAAATATAAGAGATTTATTTCAGTTCAGTTTTTTAAGGCTACTCTTCAACCAAATATCAACACAAAGCACTTTACAAGTAAAAATGTTCCAGTTTAAAAAAAAAAATCCAGAATGTATGATTAAAACAGTCAGATAGGCAGAATAAAATTAGATTACATGCTTTCCAATTTAATCTCAGCCATCACACTTCACAGATATCAGTAAAAATTTCCAACAATTAAACAAATTTGAAGTTGTCTTGTGCCTGCTTTGTTTGTTCCTTTAATGTGATTTAGATTTGATGTTTAATGCAGAAGTAATATTTTATCTACTACTCCTGAAAAATGGTCAGCAAGCAGGCACTCACAGCCAAACTCTACCAAATAAGCCTCATCATGAATCAAGCGAGCCTCGTGACAGCACCGCCATCATTCCCATCGACACCAGAGGGATGTAATAATGTAATGTCTCAAATGCAATCGAATGATCTAGAACTGAATCAGTCAAGTCGCTCCTCCGCCATAATATCCATCAATAGCAGCCGATCAGTTATCATCCCAATTACGCAGCTTTAGGCCGTCTCTTTTCTCTCTTAGTTCTCAAAAGTTGTTCTGGAAATTCAGACATCATGATGTGACTGTGTCTGTAGTTAGTCCATACGTGTTTGTAAAAAATAAATCCTGGATGATCTCTTAAACCCGCTAATAAATCAGCAACAGGAAGTAGACTTTCCTTCTTTTCTATTCGAACCTAGCATAAATAGCGGTACAGAAGAATCAAAGAAACGAAACCTCCCTATAAAATGGGAGCATGATTAAAGAAGTCTAAAACAAATGAATTGGAGATTTTGTGCAGGGCTGCGTGAAATCAGGAAACATGCAAGTGCAACTATCTGTTAGCTCCAGGTTGAGTCACTATAAGATAAACTCAGAGTGGGCATCAAGGCCAAATGTGCAGCATAACTGGTAGACAGAGTCCCTTAACCTATCCTCTTAAAAAAAATCAGAGCCCAGCAGTCCTTTATACAAATTCACTTTAACTAGGATGTAAATATACAAACAAACTCAACATAATAAACTACTATCGTCATTATACATGAATGTTTACACTGAATATAAAAAAAATGTAAAAGCAAAATTTTACAACAAAAAACAGTATGCACCAAAAACAATGAGGATGCTTAAAGATCAAGGTGCAGAATAATTTTAAAAATCAAATTTAGTTGAGGGATCTGTGTGACATTTAGCTAAGACTGCAGATGGAGAAAATAGGAACGAGAAGCTGCAGTCATTAGAGGAAGCAGCTCACCCCTGGCAACAAGAAGGTGATGGCCTCATTAAGCAGGGATTGCTCTGTTTAATGAAAGTGTGTAAAAGAGCATAACGGAAAAGAAGCTTTCCAAATGTTCAGGCCTTGACAGAGGTTAGTTCTCTTGTTTGACGTTGTTTTTGAAAAGGGTAGATACATAAGATTCACACGATGATTTCTTTTAAATTATTCATGTCGTTTATTCTGCAGAAGAAGTCACAGAAATTATGTTTTAAAGTTATTTTGAAGAAAACAAAAAGACATTCTGTATTTATATGATCATATAAATCAGACTTTTTTCTTTCACTGGGCTCCTATTATGGCCACGATGTATGTGGCTCATCAACATCAAAATATTTAAAGCTGAGTGTCGCTCCAAACTAACTGGATATTTCTAGAATAAAGAAAGATTATGACCTCCTTGTAGTGTTACCCTCTTTATAAGGAAGGGAACTACATGTATTCAGGTTCTGCATGCCCATTGGAAGCAAGCGAAGGCATTTTCAGCGAAACAATGTTGGATAACCTTTATGCTTGGCTTATTAGCGCCTGTGGAGCAACTGGGCCTTGAGGGCGGAGATAATTTTAGCTTGTTACCAGCAAAATAGGTTACAACCTTCAGTGGTGCTGCTTCTGTTTGTCACAAAGTAGGACTCAAGCAGCTCGCTTTTGCACGGGAAGCACACTCTCCTCAGGATCACAGAGGCTTCCTGTGAAATGAATGTGACTTGTGCAATCCGGTACAAACCTGCCCTGCTACTTGAACTGTCATTGGAACCTCCAGGACTCCTGTGTCACTGTCAAAAAAATCCTCTGCATCTTTGGACAAGGATTGTCTAAGGAGAAGGCAAGAGAGGAGGGAAGGGCAGCGTGAGAATAGAGTTGTTTATGTAGAGCAATGCTTTTTATAGGCAACAGCAAACTTATAAATGCTTAGAAACGTTAAGTGTAACAGTGATTTCAACAACACATGTTTTTCCTTACAGATGGCAGATCTAAAAAGTCAGAATCTGCGTTCTGCTCTCAGGCTCATCAGATTCAGACCCGTTATGCTACTGTAACCCACGACTGTAGGATCGGATTGCCAGAGAAAGCAGGGGAGAGATGAAGAGTGCGCCTCCACACTACTGTAGGTTGTAGCCATGGTGATGGGAGACGTAAGTATGATTCAAAGAGGACCAGCAGTCATACACAGGCTTATGTAAAACTACAGTCCTTCAGCAGAAGTGGAGAGCTGATCTCATTACATACTGCATATATATATATATATATATATATATATATATATATATATATATATACATATACATATATTTATATATATTTTACATTTATTCACGAGCCTCCTTTACTTTTGTTACCAGGAATCCTTTCCTTTCTACTCGCCCTCTTCATCTTTCTGCTGTCTCTCATTATGCTCTCGATGCTGAAGCCTCAAAAGCCGATAGTTTCAGGAGTTTAAACGCTGCTAACATGTTTGAGAGTTGCCCTTCATATACAGCGAACACCTTCACGTTATGTCTTAAGCCTTCGGCTTCACAATTACATCCCAAAATCCGGTAAAGGTCACTTCCTCCCCTCTCTTCAATTACACTGTAATTTTTCCATCCCTTTCCACTTGTCTATTTGACAAATGAGCTCAGAGGGTATATTTAAAGAAGCACTCTTGTTCTGCCTGCTAATAGCATCGCTGCTGGAGAGTCACTCTTGAATTAGCTTGGCAAGGCAGAGTGGAAAAGCCTGGTAGGGCGTCGCCAGGCCCATATGTTTGGGAGAATTTGTGCTAGAGATTTGCTGGTGTCCTGCACAGATTTGTCTTGTGTGCTCCTCCTTCTCATTGCAAAATTATTACCTTCCCCAAGGAGTTTTTTTTTTTTTTTTTTTGAGTTTGTGTGTGTGTCTGTGTACAGGATAACTTGAAAAGTTATTGACGAAATCTTTACCAGAAGCACACCTCATGTCAAGGATCAATTTATTAAAATTTTTTGACGATCCAGATCATGTGAAGTCACAATGTGGAGGAAAATTTCCTGATTGGCGAGGGTCTACGACAGGGGTCACTAATAGGTGGACCACGGTCCGGATCCAGACCACAGTGATGTCTCATGTGGACCTGTACCTGATACTAAAAAAGGAAACAACAACCTAAAATCTTATTGGGCACTTTTTGGTTTAGCTTTTATAATTCTTACGGTAGTGGTCATGCGTCCAAATTGCATGCCAGTTTGGTTATACGAAGCGATACCACCAATCTGACTGACCTCCCGACAACGAAGAAAAGATAAAACTTGTTGTTAAAACAAAGAAGAGAGAAACAGGTGAAGAAAAATCTGAAATAAAAGTGTACGGGACAGACGAAAGGACGGAGACAGAAGCTCGTGGAAACAGAGAAGGAGGGGAGAAACGGACACAAGTAAGAATGGGACAAATGATGGCGTTTAAAAAACATTAAAAGCTATGCTCTTAGAGTGCATTTCTAGTTCACCTTAAGACAGTTTTCTAGTCCTTTAACAGTTTACCTCTGAGCTGTGAAATAAACAAGTAAAGGGAAATAGTTGAAAGTTTAATCTTTAAAAGTGTCTCACAAAACCCCCCGAAAAACATAAAATATCAGTAAACCCTTCTGCAGTCCAAAGTGTTATAATTTATATGTATGATAAAAAAATAAGCATTTATTACTAGAATTTATTTTACTAATAAAGATGAAGATGACTACAAACAACTCAATGATCTATAAGATTTGACATCATCATAAATCATTATATGAAATGAAAACTAAACTAGTTATTTTTGTTCTGTCTTTCATAGTAATTTCAAGTTTTAACAGTGTGGTAGTAGAAAAAAGAAAAACACTGAGGAGAGCCGTTTGACGTAATCTGTAATAAATCATCCTTGTAATCTCCCTTTTATCAGCTGGGACTGCCGGGGTTGACCCCACTGACTGCTCTTCAGAGATTACACCTAAACCGCTCAGACAAGCAATCCCATTCAGAGGATCCCGTCATCAGGTTTACACGGCAAAAATAAGGAGACAATCATCTCTTCATGTATTAGATTGGGTAGCTGTTTTCAAAGCACTGAATCCAGGATCAAATGAGTTGGATCACATGGGCGAGAAATAAAGCGCATATGCTAAAAAAAAGCAAAACGAAAACCCATAGTGCCTCATAAATAGAAAGAAAATAAAACCACTAAATTTCGTCACACTAGGATCTGCTTTGACCTAAATAAGAGTAACAGTGGGCAGTGGAAACAAAAAGAATTTCATAAAATTTTAAATAAACTCTTAATGTGTGGCTACATTTGCATTCAGGTACTTTTAAACTGATAGTCCTGTAAAACAAACAAGTAAAAAAAAACAAAAACACAACAATTTAAATAAATATAATAATAATTTAAATAAATCTGGCTGCTCTGTGAAGGTTTCAGGGGTTTGTTAGAGAGCATCAGCATCATGGGTACCAACGACAGAGCAGACAGGTCAGGAGTAAAGCTGGGGGAAAGCTAAGAGCGGAGTAGTAGGCCACGCTGTAAACATCTATTGGAGCATCAGTCAGGTAATCACTGTAGAGAGGGGGACACTACTGGAAATCTGACAAGACATGTTCTTCCTCCCTTTGGAAGGACCAAAGCTCAGGTGGAAGAATTTGTCAACTGTTTAACTATTTATAAAGAATTGGAAAGAAGATGGTTACCAATAAAAAACAAACAAAACAAAAATCATAATATACAGAAGGAGGCCAGTTGAAAACAAACTTAACCTTTCAGCCCATCACACACACCTCCCCAGCCTTTAAACACAGTGGTGGCAGAATCATGCTGTGGAGATGCTTTTCCTAGAAAGGGAACATACACTGCCTGGGCAAAAAAAAAGTCGGCACCAAAAGTCACCTTTAGCTTTGATTACGGCACGCATTCCCTGTGGCGTTGTTTCGATGAGCTTCTGCAAGGTTTTATTTATTTCCATCCAGTGTTGCATTAATTTTTCACCAAGATCTTGCATTGATGATGGTAGAGTCTCACTGCTGCGCAAAGCCCTCTCTAGCACATCCCAAAGATTCTCAATGGGGTTGAGGTCTGGACTCTGTGGTGGCCAATCCATGTGTGAAAATGATGTGTCATGCTCCCTGAACCAGTCTTTCACAATTTGAGCCCGATGAATCCTGGCATTGTCGTCTTGGAATATGCCTGTGCCATCAGGGAAGAAAAAGTCCATTGATGGAATAACCTGGTCATTAAGTATATTCAGGTAGTCAGTTGACCTCATTCTTTGAGCACATACTGTTGCTAAACCTAGACCTGACCAACTGCAGCAACCCCAGATCATAACACCGCCCCCTAGGGCTTGTACAGTAGGCACTAGGCCTGGTGGGTGCATCACTTCACCTGCCTCTCTTCTTACCCTGATTCGCCCATCACTCTGGAACAGGGTCAATCTGGACTCATCAGGCCACATGACCTTCTTCCATTGCTCCACAGTCCAATCTTTATGCTCCCTAGCAAATTAAAGCCTTTTTTTCCGGTTAGCCTCACTGATTAGTGGTTTTCTTACGGCTACACAGCTGTTCAGTCCCAATCCCTTGAGTTCCCTTCGCATTGTGCGTGTGGAAATGCTCTTACTTTCAGTATTAAACATAGCCCTGAGTTCTACTGTTGTTTTCCTTCGATTTGATCTCACCACACGTTTAAGTGATCGCCGATCACAATCATTCAGGATTTTTTTCCAGCCACATTTCTTCCTTGAAGATGATGGGTTCCCACTATCCTTCCAGTTTTTAATAATGCGTTGGACAGTTCTTAACCCAATTTTAGTAGTTTCTGCAATCTCTTTAGATGTTTTCTCTGCTTGATGCATGCCAATGATTTGACCCTTCTCAAACAGACTAACATCTTTTCCACGACCACGGGATGTGTCTTTCGACATGGTTGTTTAGGAAATGAGAAGCAAGTCATTGTACCAGTTGGGGTTAAATAACTTGTTGCCAGCTGAAAGATAATGCAGTAATTATCCAATAGGAGCTTCGTACCTATTTGCTTAGTTGAATCCAGGTGGCGACTTTTTTTTTTGGCCAGGCAGTGTACAAGTTGATAATAAAATGGGCCGAAGCAAATCACAGAAGACGTAAAGAAAGAAAATAAACCAGGGTGAAGTTTTTCCTTCCAGTGGATGAAAACCTCAACACACTCTGGCAGAAGGACAATACAATGTCTCAGATCAAAGCCCTCCTGTGTTAGAATGGTAAAAATTAAACAGAGCCTTTGGGAAAACTTTATTTTTTTTAGCAAATGATCTGTACTTTTGAGTTTGAGCTATTCTGATTGGAAAAATGTTGGTCATTTAATGTGCAAAAGGTTAACCCTGCCCCTGAAAAAAACCCAAAACATTGATCAAAGGGACTTAAATATAGAAGTGTGTCTTTGGGATTTTATTTGAAGAATATTTTGAAGATAAAGCACTATTTTCCTTCAATTGTACTAAATACAAACTACTCTAATCTGGAATTTAGTGAATTAAGGTGTCAGAATGCAGCAAGGTTTAATATCCTCCAAGTTAATATTTTGAAAGGGCACTGTGTACAATCATGGTTGCCAACTTTATCAGTTTTAAACAGGAACTGGTAAAATCCAAATGGAAATTGACATTCTAATGATAAATATTTCATAAAACCTGCAGTGATTCAATCTGAATCCTAGTTGGAAATACCAGCGCATGTGTGTCTGTGTGTGTGTGTGTGGGGTGGGGGGCTACTGTGGATACCATGGGGAAGGAATTATGCATTGCACAGAGCAATGGTGAGGATGTGTAAGGGGAGAGTGTGGGCTGGCTGCTAACAAA